TCCACCAGAGCAGTACCTATTGATCTACTCCCATTTGCATGTTTTTGAACTGCTAGGTTGGCAGAAACTGGGGCTGACAGCAGGAGCTCACGCTGCTCCTCGGATTCGAACCTACAACCTTTTGGTCAACGAGTTTAGCAGCTCAGTGCTTTAACTCACTGCAAATAAAAGGTTTCAAATACCTAGAACTTTGGTTCAGTAACAATCTGTCATGTTCCATTCATTTAAAATACAAACTGGCATGGGCTCAATCAAACGACAGTGCCATCAGGAGGTTTTTCCACTCCAGGGGCAGCCAATATATTACCACATCCCTGCAAGTTTTCAAGCAAAGGTGATAGCACAACTACTCTATGGCATTCCCATTTGGTTAACCCCTAATAATTATTTTGCATCCCGTATACAGTTCAATGCCTAGAAGGTGGGGTTGGGGAGGGATTTGCTGCCTCCACCACAGAAGAGGCAAAATGAAAGTAGTCCCAATGCGACTGCTTTCAGGGAGGGCAAAGCCATGACAAGCAACCCGCCCTCCTCTTCAGTCTGAATCTGACTGATGAGAAAGGTGGACATCCCCAGGTTAGGTCTATAAGTAGGCCCCAGGGGGGCTTGTGGTCCCCCCCCCAGCTGCATTGGGATCCTTCAGCTTCTTCCATTTACTTTTGAGAAGAAAGTAATCCCATCCTTCCTCACTGGTGTCTTCTTCTGGCAGGGGGACTTGGTTTTCTCTTTCCTTCCGTGGTCTTCTCTTTCTTGCCGTGGTGAGCATGGCACCTGCCATGGCCTTTTCTAAGACCTGCGGGAGGAGGGGCCTTCAGGGGGAGGTTTCAGTTCCCTCGCTGTGGCGAGCCTGGCACCTGCATTGGCTTTCTCTCCCCTGCACGCTAACTTCAGGGGTGGAGGACCCTGCGGGGCATAGGGACAAAGCAGACGCTTCTCCCAATCTGTGGCAGAAACAGCAAAGGAATTGAATTCAGCGCACAACCAAGGAGCCCATTTGGTGTAGGCCAGGAGCTATAACCTTCCTCTGCATGGTAATTAAAAGAGGGGAGGGTGAAAGCAAATGGCCTAGGAACTGGAAATATGGCATTAATAATTCTGGGAACATAATTACCCTTACCAAGTTCAATGCAAAGTTCATGGTCAAGTTCATTATGCATTCAGGAACACATGGCAGGAAAAATCATAGATATTAATTAGGTAACAATTAATAAAGTTGCCCTTAGTTAACCCATCCATGTGTGTGGCCACTATCTGGCTAAACATCATACAATTTTGACTATACATTCACTATCAAAGCCCCAGTAAGTCTTTGACCCAACTTACCTTAAGCGAACTCCACCACTCAAAATGGTGCACAACAGTCCTAGCAAAGATCGGGGAATTGGGCTATGATAGCGACTTCTTGATTATCTAACTTTCACTGAGATCTTTACCCTCATAAAAGGGGTTGCTAGAAAGGGTTGCTGTAGCACCAAGAAGAACTTTTCTAAGCTCCTCAGTGGTGTTATTATTTCTACCCCCATGAGCAGCTGCTTAAGGTAAGATACAGAAACAGATGTGTATTCAAGACATTCAAATTGTCCTGTTAAGAGAAAGAATCATATACATAATGGGCCCTTGATATCCACTGGAGTTTGGTTCAGGACCTCCCATACATACCAAAATCCATGGATGCTCAAGTCCCATTATATATGATGGCACAGTAAAATCATGTTTCTTATAAAAATAGCAAACACAAGGTTTGCTTTTTGGATTTTTTAAACATATTTTTAAAATATTTTCAAGCCATGGATCACTGAATCTGTGAATACATAATCCATGAGTGCAGAAGGCCAATTGAATGTCTGTTCCTTTACTGCCCCCTTGATTTCTGAATAAAAGGCCCACTGAATATGTACATTGATCAGAAAAATAAAAATTCTGGTTCAGAAAAGTAAAAATTCCTGTGATCACTTCCATCTGAGCCATAAAATATCAAACCTCATAGACCAGATGTTTCAAACCCAGTAAATTCACATCACCTCAAAGATTATACATTCCAGTGGAGACAAGTTACACATTCAGATGAGGGTAATCTAATGCTGAGTAATGATTAAATGATAAATAAAATGTGCATGAACGAATAGTTCACCAGAAAGGCACACATCACAATATGCAAATACAATTCCATTTTATGATGCCTAGGGAAAAAAAAACCTGCTCATTGATCTGCAATAAATATGCTTAGTCTTCAGGGTGAAAATACATCCATAAACTCAGGAGCAGTAGGAGAAGAATAGATGATGTCACAATGTTAGCAGGAACCAGTTCACACCACCATGTTTGTCATGCGATAATTAAAATGTTTTGAACTTATTACAATTTATTTTTATTGTGGCAATGTTTACTTATATAATCAATCAAAATAATCAGGTTAATAATATGGATATGTTTGGGGTTTGGTTTTCTTTCTTTCTTTTTTTTTGCAATGTGGTTATCTTGAACAATATGTTTATTGGAAAGGTGGGATATGACAAATCAGTACATACATATTCATCTTTTAATTGATAAAGACTACCATTTTGAACCCTTTGACCTGGGAGTAAGTCCTACTGAACACAATAGATGTCTGTACAGACATCCATTATATTTCAAAAAAAATGTCCCCAATTAACTGTAGTTTTATACAAATAGGTATGTTTGTGTATGTACATCTATAGGCAAGATACTTTTAGATTAAATCAATGTCTTGCAAGTTAGTTCTTTTGACTGAATATAGTACTTCTTTCCTTTCCATTGAGTCACAGCCAGTAAAGTCCAAAAGTTTTTTTTAGATGAAAGATTAAAATTCAAGGCAGGGCAGGAATAGAAAACTTCATTGTAGACCAGGATTGTGGACCTTAGTAAGGAGAAGGAGGAGTCCATATCTAATTGATCATATTTCTAGGGGTCTGCCAGGCACTCAGAATCAAAGTTTCAATAATAGTAATCAAATCAAAACAAAACAAAACAAAAAAATAACAAAAACCACCAGAGCTTCACAGGGAATATCATGCTATGGAGAATCACTGAATACAGGTTGAGGATTCCTTATCCAAAATGATTTGGATCAGAAGTCTTTTGGATTTCAGATTCTCTCTCCCCCTCCCCCAACCTTTCCCCAAGGTTGGAATACCTTTATTTGCATTTAGGTAAATAAGGTATCTTATTTATGGGACCAAAGTCTAAAAATGAAATTCATTTATGTCTCACACACAGCTTGCAGGCAATTATATACCATATTTTAACAGTTTACTGCATGAAACAAAGTACATTGAACCACCAAAAAGCAAAAGTATTACTATCTCAGTAATTCAAGTGGACAATTTTGGAACGTTTTGGATGTTATAATTCCAGATAAAGGTCTTCAACCTGTACCAAATGAATGTATGTCTAATGATTTAGATCTGGGAGTTTGGGGGAGAATCCTGTTAACAAATCATGTAAAATAAAGTGTATGTATATGTCTTTTTAAACTGTATATGATACAAAGCAAGCACGTGCATGACCAAGGAGAGAAGATAAGCAGTTGTAAATTTATATAATTACATATTTCAACCCACTGCTACTTAACATTTAAAATATATTTTAAAAATACAATTGCATTTGCATTTGCTCTATGGAATTTCCATACTAGTGATCCCAAAACAATAATAATACAAATTATTATCTGTAGTTAAGATATTTTTAAAAGGTTACAATCTTTCTATTGGTAATTTCAAATTATGTTGTTTGCTAATTGGATGCTACATAGATTTTGGAATAAAGTAAAGGATCAGTGTAACAATCACTTCTCAAATGCAATAATTGATAGCTGATGCCATTAGAATTCACCTGATGTACTGTTTGGAGACACAGTAACTAACTAACTAACTAACTCCCAATGTGACTGAAACCTGTCATTGTATTTCTCTGTATCTCATATCTTTATGTCCTTTATCCCTAGTTCTACCTAACTAAAAAGGGAGATGGAACATGAAAGAGAGATTCTCTATTAGATTGTATTTCATCACCTAAACCCACATCCAATGCAGCATGAATGTGAGGAGAGATGACAGTGAGCTGCTCCTCAATTTAAACATTTCACATTTCACCATATTTTCACATTTCACCACAGTTTTTCATTTTGTTTCTAGTTTTACAAACTGATTTGCAGAAGGTGCTGAAAGGTTCTAGGTAAACTGGGATGCCATTATGTAGGAGTAATGTGCCAGGGTGACATGCCATTGAAATAAACAGCATACTTTGTATACACAGAGTTCTTGATGGAAGGGATGGGAAAGACTGCTAAGAACTATGGGCAAAGGAGGTTGGAAGCCCTCTAGAGATCAGCTCTTGACATGGTGCAGGGTTAGGTTTTGGGGACAGCTATGGAAAAGGAGGAAACCTGACCAAAACCGGACAAAGAGCATTATGGAAGGTCTCCAAATTTGCGAGGTGTGGGGGTCCCCACCAGAAAATTGAGAAATTTTACTTCTTTTGGAGTACCCCACAGTCAGTAAGACAAATAGCTGCTATGGGGTTCTAGAAATAGTGGTCTACAAGGGAAGGTTTCAAAATAATGGGCTGAAATGTATCATAGAGCATTTTCTTAAGAAGTCTTTGCAACACTATAAAGAAGCTTTCACGTAAATGTCCAAGCCAACAGAAAAGAGATGGCAGCTATAGGAAAGTTAATTTTAGCAAGTTCTCTTTCTCTCTGAGTCCTTGGGACCTACTTCTTGATGGGTCCTCACTACCTGCCAAATATAGGGTATCTCACTGTAGAGCCTACTCCTTGGACTCCACCCTTAAATTCATAGTGTGTGTGTGATAACATTATGCTCCAAATTTAAAAAGCAAAGAGAATAATTCTACAGCCTTCATTAATTAAATCAACTCCCTTGATATCTTTTGGGATAAATTTACAACTGCTCAAATGGATTTATTTTATGTAGCACGAACTATCTTGCAAAATGAAAAGCTATTCATCACCCACCAACCTGCCCATGGTTTTGCTCCTCCAGTCAGTGTAATAACATTTTTTCCTGTAAGGACAGCAAAAATAATCTGAGAACAATTTTTATACAGACAAAAAGGAAAAAAATAAACAAACACACACATATCAGAAAGAGCTCTTAGCTATTGTGCAACCTGGACCTTTACCAAACAAAAGAGAAAGGGAGCACAGTAATAAAAGTGAAGAGCTATTTTAAAACCATTAACTTGGAAATATATGAAAATATATTAAATATTGATGCCATGGAATAAAATTGAACTACTTTAAATTAAACATTTAACATGCACAAAGTTATTACAGGTTACAGAAAGCTTGGAGACTGTGTTTCTTTTCCTCTCAGATTTACATTGATTTCTTAATAATGTTAACAATCTTGCCAATATAGCAGCTGATATTTTGCACACAAATCATAGACAAATGATAGCTGGATGCAAGGACAGGAACAGATTGCTTTTTTGGTCTACTCCCATTCCCAAATTGGGTTATTCTTAAGTGAACCTAATGAAGGCTGAGGAAAAAGTTTGATTGAAAATATTGCCTGAATGACTATCCTGGAAATATAAACACACAAAGGTACATTATAAATGGAGGGGAGGAACATATAGCCCTACATTTATTTTTACTACAGCTCCCACAATCCTTCACAATTGTGTATGCTGCCTACGGCTGATGGAAGTTACAGTTCAACACTAACTACCTTTTACTTCCCACTATGTAACCAAATCAATAGTTTCCTCATACTGCTGGAATTCTGCTGCACATTATTTGATGTTATTTTGAATGAACATTGATGCTACTCTTGGAAGAATGGATAGATTATCTGGCATTCACATTTTATTTAAACAATTCAAATTTAAAATAAGCACACAACAGTGACTAAAAGACCAGTTATGTAAACTAGCAAACCAAGATACAATTTGTTATCTGTTGGAAAGAGAAAGATGGGATCACTTCCATGCCACATGAACAGAAGATCTGGCTGCTGAACACTGCTTTGATGTAAGTGATGCAGGACAGTAATTCCCAACCATATCTAAAGACAAGAGTCTAACTTGGAGAATATAGGTAGTTTACATGGCAGGGCTATAGTTCTCTCCTCCAGCAGCTAATCCCTGCAGCCCAAGACAACTTCACTTGGACTGCAGAAGTGAGCTATGCTGAGTCAATGGGTCGTTTAAAACTAAGTTTCCAATCTTCTAGGGGAAGAAAGGAATGGCTTATCAATTTCACTGCAGCCATGATCTGATTCAGCCCAAACATTTGAGTAAGACAATTTTTGAGGGCCATCTCTGTGTTGGGAAGAACAGAACAAGTGTCACCCTCTTCTTTGTATGGGCCATTGATTACAGATGGGAAAGAACAGGAACACAATGACACAACACTATTCCTAAAAGCAATAGTAGCAAGTGAAGCATGGTGACCCATCTCTACATGGCAAGTAACAGCTCGTATGGCTTTGTTTCATTTAGTATCTTAGCCCAATTTCTAATCAAATAATAAAGCAGTTGACAAATGGTCATTTTTGCTGTCACAATGCAGCTGCACCATTGACATTTACAAGTTTAATCCATTACATTGTGTCATCATTTTTAAATAATGGGAAGACAGGGATGACAGCTATGAATATATCAAGGTGACTGTTGTTACCTCTGAACTCTGACCCTGAAATGATGTGCATGAAGCCCACCATGGACAGTACATTTTCTCTCAGGTTAATAATGGCTGCCTTTGTGCACTATCAACAAAAAAGGGTTCAATTGAATAGATGATTTACATGGTGGCTCCACATCTGGCCAATAAAGATGGATTCTTGTGGTAAGATACATATGGGCAACACAGAGCTCTGTAACCACAGTTGTTCATGGTTTCTAACTGGTTGCCAATAGGTTTTGCATTCTTCAGATTTCCACACTCAATATACATTTACTGAGATTGGTGTCCCATAGAACAGTTTTATTGTGGGACTACAGAGAAATAGTTTCACATCCCAACTGGTAACTCTGATGGGGCAAGAACTGTGGTTTTCTGAGCAACAGAAACTGAGCACTTTTTACAACTAGTCAGGTGGATGTGCAATTCATATAGGAAAGAGTTGAACTTTCACTTATGGGAGCAAGAGTGAGAGAAGATCGGAACACCATAGAGATATAAATAAAGAGAAAATCACAATGCTACAGATATGAACAGGCCAGCCTTTAGAAACTACCCAAGGGCCCTCAAAACTGATGCTGGGCATGAATGATACCATAAGATAATTTCCACTTTGACTACATTTATAATTTCATTTCAAACAACTCCTCATATAACAAGGGCAGCTGCAGATTATAGACAATGTCCCTGTCCTGCTCCCAAAGCCCTGAGATTCAACATGACATTTGGAAGGAGACTAGGGTTCCTGGCTCAAATAGAAACCTATGTTTATAGTTAACCCTCTTCCTTGGCCTGTACAAAGAACTCGGAAGGTTTTACAGTTTCATTATTTTATCTTTGCAATACCTCTATATAATAAATTGGACAACGAAAAGGCAACTACCTCAAGGTCACAAAACACATTTCATGGGGTCTCTAGAGGTAGGGCCATTTATAAAGCTTAGAAGCTGCAGGATTAGTCACCTAAGCATTATTCTTTTGTGCTACTCCATATGCACCAAAGAAATCACACATTATATAACAAAGCAAAAGCAGGAAATATTAAGAAAAATAGTGACCATTAAATAGGCTCATTGTGCAGTTCCCTGTCCTTCCTTCATTATAATTTCCCATTGTTGAAGTCAGTGAAATGGTTACAGGACTGCCAAGTGAAGACTATTGTAGTGACTCATTAAAATTTATTTGATTTCTTCTCTTAAAACGGATGACTTAAGAACAATTGTGACCTCACCACAAAGGGCTAAATTCAGCAGCATGTGCTGGTTTAGCCCAAGTCACCCACAGAGCCCATCAGCTCTCATCAAATGATGCTGGCATGGCTCCATGAGTGAAGGAGGGAGGAGCCAGTGCATGCCACTGCTGTGGAAACATGAGAGGCTTCCTGTGTTGCCATTACAAGCAATGGTGGGAAGCTGCATGCCCCATGCTTTCCCCATGGGATCTATGTCATTGTTCTGATGACACAGAACAACTCCAGCAGCCATGTGGCAAGGTCGTTGGTCTAGTCTGTTTTCACACTCAGGTCTGGGAGAGCCTCTCAAAATTGAACACATCTACTTTAGAATATATGGGATCTGGCCTGGAGCCAATGAGCTTGTGCCTAAGAGTATGCTTTGCTCCTTCAGGATTAATTTGGATTAAATCCAGAAGAGATGGAGATTACAAGAATTATGACCATTTAAAAGTTTCAAAATGGATGTGAAATAACATGATGAACTTAAGCATCAAGTGAAATGATAGTTATTTCTTTCCTCTTGCTGCTGAAGCAAACTATCATATTCAAGTGGAGAATACTCTGTATGCAGCTACAAACTGTAGAAATGACAAGGAAGCATGTGAAACCAGAAGTTGGAATCAGTAAGACTGCCTATTTCTTCTGCTTCCCTGGAATGTGGTGGAGGCCCCTTCTTTGGAGGTCTTTAAACAGAGGCTGAATGGCCATCTGTCGGGGGTTCTTTTAATGCAGTTTTCCTGCTTTTGGGCAGGGGATTGGACTGGATGGCCCACGAGGTCTCTTCCAACTCTGTGATTCTATGATGCTATACTCATAATTCTGCTTTAATGAAGAAAGAAAGATCTTTTCCATACATTTTGTGGAAATGCAACACTAGAATACAGGACTAGTCTATGCCCTATAAAGAACAAAGTATTTAAGTTTAGGATTTTATTTCTTAGATATTAAAAAGTTACTCTAAAGGCGAGTGATTATAGTAATGTGCTGCTGATTATGATTATATTCTGCATATGATTATATTCATTCATCTTCAAAGCAATGCAATTTTACCATTCATACTTTTATATCTATGTCTTCAGAATTTTGATATTTTCTCCAACTGTATCTTTCAAACAGTAAAATTGTGGAAAACCAGTAAAATTATTGAAGCACGTAAAACCATGTTTTTGTGGTCAAACATGTCTCATTAATGCATGTGTAAATGTAACAACAAAGTGACAAATTTGAAGCAAAGATAAATTATTTGATAGTACCTGAAAGGCATCCTGATATTCATTCTTTCAGCATATTTGCACAATGTGTCCCAAGGACAGTGAATTTTAACAAACATAATATCATTGTTTGTAACAGCTGGCTGCAACAAGTAAGAAGAAAACGAGCTTGCATTAGTACTCGAAATTCAAACTGGAATTTCAGTTTCCTGGCAAACTCAAAATCTATCTTCAGTTCTACTGCTTACTTAAACTCTAGTCCTTAGCAGTCAACATTTGTTATAGATGTGATGAAAAGTTACATGATATCTATAAAAAAGAAGAATTCAAATATCTCCTCTTTGGGGAGATAAAGTGGGGCAATAATAATAATAATAATAATAATAATAATAATAATAATAATAATTGTTTTTATTATCCACCTCTCCTGGTAATACAATCTATAATGGCTTTCATATCAATAGGGTAGTGAACCTGCTCTGGGTTTTAGTTTGAACTGTGAAAAAGCTGTTCAAGATGCTGAACCAACTTGGGGGTTGTCATCATTCCACTGATATGGATGTCATCACCCTGCTGGTCAAATGTCATAACTTAACCTTCAGAAGTCAACACCACTTGATCTCAGTAATCTGTTTCTGTGATCTTATCTAACACACAAACAGTTTAGGAAGAAATTATTTCCATAATTTTGGGGGAGCCAGTATTTCTAGCTGTTAAAAATCAAACAAATATATGAGAGGACTGCAGAAATTAATTTAGTCATTTCTGGAAAATAAGGAAACAATTGGTCCTTAATCACACTGGTGAACTAATAATATTGCACAACAGAAACATCACCTTTCACTAATCAGAATGTTTATAGTTATCTTCCTCAGTGCAATGGACAGCTTCTTGAAATGGGTTAGAATGAGGCAGATATGAGTCTCTGCAAGTTATGGGTATATTTCCCCCTTCTGCCCCAGTAGCAGACTTGTAACTGTCTATCCTTGAACTAGACAAAAATCCAAGGATAATTTGTTTCTGAGTGTAGACTACGTCTTTATCAACTTTCTTGGCTTTATCAGCCCAGAGCTATTACATTATTGTGGATTTCAACAAGCACTGGATGGGTTTTTAGAAGTGGAGGAAATTGAGAAACCACCCCTTTGATCCTGAACCACATTTCTGAATTATTGGCCCATGTTCACAAGGGAAAAGTGGAAAATAAAGCATACCTCTCTTTCTAACATTAGTCCTTCAGCCCGAAGATTCTTTTCAAAAGTGCTTCTTTTCTCTATTTGTGGACTGGACTTTTTGTAGACTAAAATATAATCAATACGCTTTTTGCCATCCTTGAAGAAAAGACCTGATGTTGCTAGGGCACTCATGTTATTCTGAAAAAGAGAAAAAAATGAATGCAAGATAGTAAAACATAGAATCAATCACTTCTTCTCTGTGATAAATTTTCTCTGTGATAAATTTGTGTTATATATCATTATACTGATGTATAGATTTCAAGACACATGATAGCTGGAGGATTGTGGAAAAGAGATCCAAGCAAGTGACATAGTTTTCCTATAGGCAACTTAAGGAATGGCACTTGCTGGCCATGGTGAAGGACAGAAATCGGATAGGTTGACTTTACAATGCACCAAACTGATTCAAGATCTCGGCTAAAAGAGTGCACCAGGAAACACCCTAGCCACTGAACTTTACATTAGTATTAGTTTCTCACTGTTTTAAGTGTAGTCCAACCCAATCTTCTCCAGGGTGGACACAGTTGGTTGTCAAAGTTATAGCTACGGAACATCAGATCACAAAAGCCATGGGGAAATCCAAGAACAAGATCCAGAAGCACCTATAAACTATCAAGTCTTGCAAAACAGTGCAAACTAAAGATGTCTAAATAAGTTCTTAATTTTAGATGATTTCCCTCATATAGCATATTTAAATTCACTAAATTTGTAAAAAAAAATGGGGAGGGGGAGAGATGGTAGATTTTTCCTACTAGAGCAGTTGCATCCAGAAGAGCCTGACAACTCCTATACGATATTAACCTTCTGCTGTCAATGCTGTGTTTCTATTGTTCTTCAGTTGGTAATGTTATTGCATTTGGCAACAATTAGAACATTCCACAGCCGGGGGGGGGGGGGGGGGGGGGGGGGGGGGGGGGGGGGTAGGGAGTTGGATGTCATAAGCATATTGATGGTATTCAATTTCAAACCTTTGGTAAGTTCTTTGGATGGTCTCATCTGGCAGCTTTTAAAAGAAATGTTTGTGGGGAAGGGAGGGCAATACTATCATGGGAAACCTCAAAAGCAAACAGAACAGTTACCATCTTCCTGATATATTTAGCCAAATAGGCTTCTAGCTCCATGTTAGCCGAATCTCTCCAAAAAAGATATAAAATATGAAGGCCCATCCACACTGCCCCTTTATCACAGGATCTGACCCCAGATTATCTGTTTATCCCAGGTTATCTAGCAGTGGAGACTCATATATTCCAGTTTAAAAGCAGATTATTTGGGATCAGATCCTGGAATAAAGGGTAGTGAGGAAGGCCCCTGATAGTATCTAACCAATAAAGAGAATGAAGAGAACGATATTCTTGTGGGTTTTTTCGGGCTATAGAGCCATGTTCTAGAGGCATTTCTCCTGACGTTTCGCCTGCATCTATGGCAAGCATCCTCAGAGGTGTGAGGTCTGTTGGAATTAGGACAATGGGTTTATATATCTGTGGAATGGCTGGGGTGGGGCAAGGAGCTCTTCCCTGCTGCAGTTAGGTGTGAATGTTTAGCTGATCACCTTCATTAGCATTTGAAGGCCTGCCTGAGTCTGGGAAAATCTGTTGCTGGGAGGTGTTAATCTGTGCCTGGTTTTTTCCTCTCTGTTGTTTAGCTGTTATAATTTTTGAGTTTTTTAATACTGGTAGCCAGATTTTGTTCATTTTCATGGTCTCTTCCTTTCTGTTGAAATTGTCCCCATGCTTGTGGATTTCAATGGCTTCTCTGTGTAGTCTGACATGGTGGTTGTTGGTGTGGTCCAGCATTTCTGTGTTCTCAAATAATATGCTGTGTCCAGGCTGGTTCATCAGGTGCTCTGCTATGGCTGACTTCTCTGGTTGAAGTAGTCTGCAGTGCCTTTCATGTTCCTTGATTTGTGTTTGGGCGCTGCGTTTGGTGGTCCCTATGTAGACTTGTCCACAGCTGCATGGTATACGGTAGACTCCTGCAGAAGTGAGAGGATCCCTCTTGTCCTTTGCTGAACGTAGCATTTGTTGGATTTTCTTGGTGGGTTTGTAGATTGTTTGTATGTTGTGTTTCCTCATCAGCTTCCCTATGCGATCAGTGGTTCCCTTGATGTATGGCAGCAACACTTTTCCTCTGGGTGGATCTTCATCTTTACTCTACGTTCAACCTCTGAGGATGCTTGCCATAGATGCAGGCGAAACGTCAGGAGAAATGCCTCTAGAACATGGCTCTATAGCCCGAAAAAACCCACAAGAACCTAGTGATTCCAGCCATGAAAGCCTTCGACAATACGAAGAGAACGATGTTACCCTATGAAGTTCTTACCACAGATCATCTATCAAAATGACTCAAGATGTTTCAGCCCTAAAATTGGGCCTGAAAGTAGATCGGAAAAGATTAAAATATTAAGCTTTGTTGAATAAAGATTGGAACTTCATGTACAGAATTTAGAGAGTATGGTAAGGAGAAGCAAGGACACTGATTCAGCACCCATAATACAAGAGCTGCTATGGCTTTAACCTCTATGAAGCTTTACTGAAATTTCATTTGGCCTTTAGATAGTAGGACATCAGGGAACATCAGACAGTATAAGCACTGCTAATAAATCCCCATGCTAATAACAGCATCTGTCTTGCTAATACGGGAGAGAGGCATTCATTGTGGCTTTTTTGCTTTAAGCCCTATTTGTATGTTTCAGATTAACTATAATGCAGAATGACACCAAGGTTTCATCTGGGCAGCTAGGGAATGGGCAGAGCTATTATACTATTTCTTATGGCAAGGAATTCCTGCCCCTCCAATACCACTGATGCTGTTGTAAAATGATTCCTTATCGAAGACAAAGAAAAAAGAAGAAAAAAAGAAGGAAGGAAATCCAAGGTTTTACAGCAGTTTAATAGTTTGAAGTGATGTGAATATAATATGCTGCAAAACAAGTTGTAGTCTTCTTTGAACTAATAATCACTTTAATGCTTTTCTATTGCTTAATGTATAATTTCAAAAATGGTGCTATTTTAATTATTTTTTAAATTGATAGATAACTCTACATTGTTATTTTATTTTATTGTTTGTAAGCCATGTTGGGCCTCACACTGGGAGAATAGCAATGTATACATGCAACAAATTGCATATCTATAAGTATCCATCTACACATAATATATTTTCTTGGTGTTCATTGTTCACTAGTGGCTTAGAATAGTATCTTTAATCTGTCAGGAATTAATATGCTGGGTGGTTTAACTGTACATTTTCACTGTGGACTGTTTTTGTTTCAGGAGTTTCGCAGAAGTTGCCAAGCAGCCAGAGATAGTAGTATGCTTTCCCTTCCCTGAAAATCCAACCCAGTATTATCAGCAGAGCAGGGAGATTGCATTCAACAGCTGACACTTCCAGCTCTATGTTTTTGGCTGTTGGTAGCTCCAACAATCAGGTTCAGCAGCTGGCACTTCCTCCTGCTCTTTTTCTTCACTTTCTGAGTTGTGAGAGTTGGCATGACATCCCTGCCTCTGACGTTCTCTGCTCACAAAACATTTCCAGTCCTTATGGGGACCCCTTTGTTTGGATTTCCCATGTTTTCTATTTTCTCTGTAAAGTTCCCATTATGAGCCTGCTCAATCCTCCATCTTGTTGGTGAATAATGCTGTGTTGTTATATTTGAGGTCGCAGCATCAAACAGCAACACATTTGATTCTATGCATTGACTCACGCTTCTTATTTCTTAGTACACATGTATAGAATTTCATTGCACAAAAGAAGAAGGAGAAACATGTGGTTCTCAAGAGGATTTGGACTGCAATCTCCAGCATTCTTCACCATTGGTAATGCTGGGTAGCATTGCTGGGAGTTGTATCTAGAGAGGATTTTAAGATTGCCAGCTGCATGAAAAACCCCTGTTTGTGGGTAGATTAGGGCCAAAACAGCCAAAGGGAGAAGTATCAGATTATTGTTTCTTCATTGGCTACTATTGCACATCAAACTATTTCTTGTTCTAACATTTTTCCATTTCCATTTTCTTTGTGAAATGGAAAAAACCCCAATATGAAACAAGAGTGCTTTCCTCTGCCCCTCCTTTCGTGTACTTTTTTTACAAGAAAGTTACAAAATATAGAGAATGTCATCATTCAGCTTAAATTCTTATCTTTTCTGCCTGCCTGAAATAGCTGCATCACCTCAACTGACCTCCTTATTCCCCAACATTCAATACAGTAGGAAAATCTTGTACATTCAGCTAATACAGTTTTTGTCCAGAAGTTCAGACCTGTGTGTTGCCATCATAATAAAGCATGGTTTATCATGGCACCTGAACAAAGAATTCAGTCCTATTTTTAAGATAGAGTTTTCATAATAAAGGAATTATTTTGGACTGTCATACTATAGTTTATATTTCTATATAACTATTAACTGCGGCAAATTCTTGCTACTTTCTTAGGGTTTTAAAGGCAATTTTCTTTGTAAGATAATTGTACACTTGTCACTCAACTTATCTGTCTTTTCTTCTGGAGAAATAACATTGCCTCCCGACTCCAAGTACAATATTTTTGTCACGGATCATTGTGTAGCTAGCACATTGGTTGCGTTCCCAATGTAATACTCCTCCTACCTGTCTGTCACTGAGATTGCAGTCGTAAACACACTTAGTTAAGAGTAAGTCCCATTGAACACACGCATCACAGAACTAAATGTATACATAGGATCATCCTGTTAGTTTGTATGTTGACAGTCAAGTGACTGCTTCTTCACTAATGATCAGGCATGTAGCCTGGGGGGGGGGGGGGGCTTGAGAGGCTTCAGCCCTCCCCCCCCACGAAATTCTCAGGGTGGTCCACAAGAAGGCCTTACTGGTACATTATTTATACTGTTATGCTTATTCATATCATGATCTGATCACCATGCTCAATATATCCCATATTCATGGGGGTATTGGGGTAATGATACAAAAGGTTTGCTAGGGTAGACCCTCTTTCACTCAGACTCAGCCCCCCCCCCCCCCGAATCAAACTCAGCTCCCCCTAAATCAAAATCCTGGCTACGGGCCTGCTTATGATATTAAAATCTCAATGGATTTCTTTCTTGTTTTTTACCATTTAATATATACTTTGTTGGTTATCTCAGGGTCAAATGGATTTTTTTGGACTAATATCAGG